TTTAACATGTGTAAAGAATAATACAAAAAAAAGATAAGAGCATGAAAATTTAATATAAAATTAGTAAAATACAATAAAATAAAAGGGATAAAATAAAGTCAAATAAGATCGGGAAAAGCTCTCCTATAAAAGTATGTTTTAAGAAGGGACTTAAAAGAGTTCACTGACTCAGCCGACCTGATTTCCTCGGGCAGGCTGTTCCAGAGCCTCGGGGCCCTGACAGCAAACGCTCTGTCCCCTTTAGTTTTCAGTCGAGACTCTGGAACAGACAACAACCTCTGCCCGAGGATCTCAAGGTACGTGCTGGTGCGTATGGGACTAAAAGGTCAGAAATATAACAAGGCGAGAGGCCATGAAGAGCTTTAAAAGTGATCAATAGAATTTTAAAGTCAATTCTAAAACATACTGGGAGCCAGTGTAATGAAGCTAAAATAGGAGTAATGTGGTCATATTTCTTTGTTCTGGTTAAAAGCCTGGCAGCTGAGTTCTGGACAGTCTGGAGTCGATCAATAGATTTTTGGGTTAAACAGGTGAAAAGGCTGTTGCAATAATCCAGGCGTGATGAGATGAAGGCGTGTAAAATGGTCTCGGTGTCCTTAAAAGTTAACATAGATCGAATTTTAGCTATATTTCTAAGTTGATAAAAACATGATTGAACAAGCTTTGTGGTGTGCTGCTCGAAATTTAAATTACTATCAAACCAAACACCAAGGTTCTTTGCCACAGGCTTAATGTGATTTACTAGGGAACCAGCAGATGGCAGTATTTGATTTGCCATCTGCTGAGACCCGATGACCAGGATTTCTGTTTTGTCTGAGTTCAGCTGGAGGAAATTATTTGACATCCATTTTTTAACTTCACAAAGGCAGTTGTTAAGTGAACTCAGCATTCCAGGGTCTGTGGATCTGACGGGCAAGTATATTTGTGTGTCATCAGCATAAATATGAAAAGAAATGCCATGTTTATGGATAATATGTCCAAGGGGAAGCAGATACAAGGAAAACAAAATGGGTCCTAAGACCGACCCCTGAGGCACACCATATTTAACTGGACAGAATGAAGAGACATAGTTGTTTACAGACACGCAAAACTTCCTATTTGACAGGTAGGATGAAAACCATTCTAGAGCAGTACCAGAGATCCCCACCCAGTGCCTCAGTCTGTCTAACATGATGTTGTGATCAATGGTGTCAAAAGCAGCGCTAAGGTCCAGGAGTACAGGACTGAGCACATACCTTCATCAGCAGACATTAAAAGGTCATTGGTGACTTTAAGCAGGGCAGTCTCAGTGCTGTGGTACTTCCTAAAACCAGACTGAAACTTTTCAAATATTTTGTTATTTTCCAGCACAGTGAGCAGCTGTTTGGACACAATTCTTTCTAGAATCTTTGCAATAAAAGGCAGTTTTGAAATTGGTCTAAAATTTGTGGGAGGGAGGGATCTAAACCAGGTTTCTTTAAAAGTGGGTTCACGCAAGCCGTTTTAAAATAATCAGGGACACAACCAGTAGATAGGGAGCTGTTGAAAACAGAGATCAAATGGGGCCCAACAGAATCTATTACTTTAGTAAAATTTTGTAGGTATTATATCAAGTGGGCTGGAGGACACTCTCATTTGTGATATGTTTTTAAAAGCTCAGACAAGTCGATGGGATAAAACTGGTTAAAACTCTGTTGTTGCTGGTGAGGAACCTCTGAGTAAGAGGCCACGGGGGTAATAGAGGCTCTGATTGACACCACCTTATTGGTAAAATAAGATAAAAACAATTCACAGTCATCATTACTTCCAGCTGAGGCACAAGGAGGGGTTGGGTTTACCAGCTGATCCACAGTCTTAAACAGAAACCTGGGATTGTTTATGTGTAGTAATGAGTTCAGAAAAATAGTGTGTTCTCGCATCCTTAACCATTTATTGTAGTTAATTAATAAATCCTTCAGACTGAGGTAATGGACTTGGAGACTGGATTTTTTCCATCTGCGCTCTGCTTTCCTGCATTCCCTTTTTAGGCTGCGAATGCTGTCATTTATCCAGGGTTGCTTACTAGCTTTAGACGTAGGCCTAACCTTTAGAGGAGCAGTAATATTTAGTGACGACAAGCAGATATGATTGAAGTGATCGACCAGATTGTTGGTGTTGGAATCAGACAGGTGTTGGCTTTGGCTCTGAAAGAATGCGCAAAACTTTGAAACACTTTGTTCATTAAAGATGCGACAACACACGGAGCTTGGTGAGGCGGCATGAGTAACAGGCGAATCGCAGCTAAAAACAATACATCTGTGGTCAGATATGGTCATGTCCACTAATTCCACAGAGGAAATGCTGACACCCAGGGTAAAAACCAAGTCCAGTGTATGACCACGGTTATGTGTTTGCCCTTTGACATGTTGTTTGAAGTTAAAAGAAGTGGCCATATTTAAAAAGTCAGTTGCATTAACATTGTTGGGGTCATCAACATGAATATTAAAATCGCCACAAAGAACAATTCTGTCATAATTTAAAACCAGAGTAGATAAAAATTCAGGAAGTTCTGATAAAAATCCTCCAGGCGGTTTTGGGGGGCGATAAATTATAACAAATATGATAGGTTGCAGCCCTCCAAGTTTAAGAGTGAGAACTTCAAAGGAGTTAAATTCATCACAGCGTACTTGATGACATTTAAAATTTTTCCTATACACGCTTACTAGCCTACCACCACGACCACTGACCCTCGGTTGACTAAAGCAATCATATTGAGGCGGACACAGTTCAGCTAGCTGGCTATAGTCATTCATTTGCAACCAGGATTCAGTTAAAAACATAAAATCTAGATTTGCAGACAAGATAAAATCATTTAAGATAAAAGTCTTACTTGAAAGTGATCTCACATTGAAGAGAGCCATTTTAAATGAGTTTGTTCTGGGTGCTGGAGTTGGTGCAGTTGTCCTAATCCTTAAGAGATTACTAATATTTCTGTGTGGGATGTGCACATTTCGGTTTACTGGTCTATGCGTGATGATGACAGGAATAGAAGTCTGTGGAACAGCGCTGGGAGCAGACGGCTTTACATGCCAGCAGGTGGAGACAGTTGTTTGTGGCAGTGAGGCAGAGATCTGTTCAGTGAGCGGTGGTGTGTCCAGGTGTGCTGCATGAATGATTAGTCATTCACGTAAGTCACGTGTGGACCGCACCACATGCTGTATGTGCGCAGCTAACATTTCTGAGCCCCGTTTGTTTGGGTGAAGTCCGTCTGTCTTAAAAAGAGACATTCTTTGCCAGAAAATATTAAAATTATCCACATAAAACACACGGTGAGCCCTGCAGGCGGACTGGAGCCAGTCGTGGAGGCCAAGGAGTCTACTGAAGCGGCCAGCACCGCGACCAACTGTGGGAATGGGACCAGAGATAAAAACGGACTTTCCGCACTGCTTTAAAAAGTTAAGAAGACGGTTAAAATCTGATTTTGTCAGCTCAGACTGCCGAAGAGCTGTGTCATTTGTTCCGACATGGACTATCACTCTTGTGATGGAGGACGGGAGCGACGGCATTAGGTCCTGGAGTGTTTTTAAAATGTCAGCCGTGGTGGCACCGGGGAAGCAGTGAGTGGTAGCGTTAAAGAAACGGATGTTTCTGGTTATGGAGTCACCAATTATTAGTGTGGTTGGGGAGAAAAGGGGACGAGGAGATGCCGGTTGTGGGGTTCCAGAGCAGGACTGAGCAGAATCTGGTTCAACACTGCGTGCGGACTGAGGATGGAGTGTGTGAGCTGCCGAGTGTTGTGTTGGAGTAGCAGTAACAGACCTGAGAGAAGGGCTACCCGACGGTGCAGGGTAGAGACGGCTCCGGAGCGTCTGAGCACAGCCTCCTTCAGGATCCTACGTCGGGAAGCGGAGGTTTTTGACCGGGATGACGGCCGCCGATCAGGTCCGGCGGCAGACCGGCGGCCCAGTGCAGGAGATGTAGCCGGTGGAGGAGATGCAACAGTGTCGGCAGGCACTGTGCGCCGAAAGAGATCCGTATCAGGGAGACTCGAAGCCGCAGGTGAATCCGCTGGATGGACCGGAGTGTCGTTAGACAAGGCTGCATAGCGGTTGGAGAGGCCGATGTGTGGAGGAGAGGCAGCCCCATCCGAGCCTCTCTTAAAGCCACGGACCACCACTTCAGCCCAGGTTGACTGATGCTTCGGAGTCGAGCAGGAGGAAAGCCTGGGAAGGCTAGAGGGGTCCCATAACACGGTGTCCTGGATGTTAGCGGTTGTGCTAAGAGAAACAATCTGTTTGGCTTGTACTGAAGCCACATCCATAAAGCCAGTCAGCAGGGAATCTTTCTCTTTGAGTTCCTCTGAAAGTCGTCGGATGTCTTCCATAAGGTCAGCAATCTTCTTGTTCGCTTTCTTAAGGAGTGAGCAGTCCTCAAGGGGCAGAGTTATCTCGGCTTGCATAGTCACCGGAGCTTTGTTGCGATCAGTAGCGTTGATCGCGTTTTTACGGTCATCTAGCTTAAAATCCATGTCGGATGACTAAAATCCTTAACCCACGTAAAACTTAAATAAAGTTAAGTTAAATAAAGGATATAAAAAATGTAACGAAAAAAGTGGATTAAAACTGGATAAGAGTCCGGTTCAAGACGGAGCTTCCGACAGGTGGCTACAGACGCCAACGCATGCGCAGAGTGCAGATTACGTCAGCAATTACGTCAGAGATCTTGTGACAAGATATATTGAGGAAACTAAACAACCGCTACACAAACGCATGGCTCAACACTGAAGGGCCAAATCCTCAGGACAGATCCCAGCAGTTTACCTACATCTGAAGGATAAAAGTGCACATTTTAGACAGAGAGGATGGTCGGTTTGAAAGAGGTGTGAAGATATTCATTTACACCCGGGTTGAGAAGCCGTCGCTTAACAGTGGAGGGGGTCTGCGACACCACTTGTCCCCCATTTACAATGCTGTCCTTTCATCCCTTCCCAGGAAACTTAACAAACGTTCACTTTTGGCCTCAGGTGAGGATGCCAACGATGGTCATTCAGACTTGGCCTCAGGTGACTCTAATGACCATAATGACTGTTATTACAAATGCCAGGAGCACTAAGAACCAGCAGTATCGATCATCTTGGCAAACGACCCCACAGAGGTTAAACAGCTGAGTTTCCCTACCTTCTAGTATCTTCAACTAAGTCCAGTTGCCCTTGATTTTAACCTTAGACTGCTTATGATAACGTTGTTCTCATCAAGTTTATTGCAGAGATCCAGGAATCTAGAAGTGTCACATGGACGGTTTAACTCACATAGGGCCTCATTTAATTGCACCCCTTAATCTCCCCACTTTTCATTAAGATGTGTGATGAGTACATGTGTAAGTGAAGTGAAAAACTTACCTGCCACAACTATCAGATGTAAGGTGGAGTTATGACGTCCTCTTCTGTTCTGGGCTTCACAGTAATAATTCCCACTGTGTTCAGCTCTGAAGTCAGTGATGGTGAAGTTCTGTCCTGATGCTTTTGGTGAGTCTTCATTCTCCTTGTACCAGGTATAATTAGCTGCTGGGTTAGCATCACTGCTGCAGGTCAGAGTCACTGAACTGCCCTCCACTATCTCAGCAGAGGGACTCACTGACACAGAGGGAAGCTTTGGAGCATCTGTATTACATGAATATAGATTATCATAAGTTGATGCATATTTGGCAGGATGTGGAAAGTTGATCGTGGTCTAAATGTACTGAAGCTGCTCAGTGAATTACAGCAGAAAACTTGAAGCAGGCAGGTAAAATCTTTTCGTTGTCGAGTTAAAGGGATACTCCAGAGATTTAGTTTTGCACTTCCTATGGCACATATGGACGTGCCACCCTGGAGGAGCTGGACTACCTGTGCAACTTGAATGGGCTGCATATTGCGTCATGCAACCAGTAGTGACGAGGACGCTAACAAAATGCAAAACTAAAGAACAATCAGTCAGGAAGGGTAAGGAGAGAACAACTGTCTGCGGCCACCACGTGCAAAACCATTCATTTTTGGGGGGTTGTCTTGCTGTTGCCGCTCCAAAAACAGGTGATTCACAATTACTTAATATGCTTCCTAATTGGACAGATTGATATCCCAGAAGTTCACTTGACATGATGTTATACTGTGATGATATTTTTAGAGTGTATTTAATCTCTCAATAGCATTAAACCTGTGTTTCACTCACATTTCACATTAATAAAGATGTATTCAGTTGTCTTCCTCCCCAGCTGGTTCTCAGCTGCACAGTAATACTCTCCAGAGTCAGAGGACTGGATGGAGCTGAAGACAAGCTGTGATTCTTTACTGAGATCTTCATGGTCTGGATTTTTAGTCCTCTTGTACCAGATATAGTTAGCTGCTGGCTTAGCATCACAGCTACAAGTCAGATTTACTGAACTGCCCTCCACTAAATCACCAGAGGGACTCGCTGACACAGAGGGAAACTTTGGAGCATCTGCAGGAGATATTAACATACATTAACTTTAAAATGTTTTTGTAAAACAGTCTTTTGTTGTTGATAGTTCAATCCTAAAGAGAATCATTTATTCAGGAAGAAATTAAAGAAAGAAAAACAGATTACATTTCCATTTTCTTTTAGATGTTTGATTATTGCTGCTGCCCAGAGTTGCTGTGGTCACAAAAATTCTGAAGACTTTGTGTTTCTTCTGGTGTTTCCTGAACCAATTACACACCTTTATAGTAAAAGATGATTTCCTTTTTTTCTTTTATATTTACTAACTATTTGCTAATAATTATTTTGTGAGGAAAGTATCCCTCATTCAAATTGTTGTGGAACTAGTGCTTAAAAATTAAAACAAAAAGCTTGAGTGAACTAAACTGCACAAACACACACACAATTACTGTCACCCATTAAAGACACATATATTCATGATACAGCATTAGTTACACTACTCCACCAGATGGTGTCATGTCAGTGGAAGACTGGATGTAAACTCACACACTGAAGGAGAGCGGGACTTCTCATATCCTCGTACAGCACAGGAAAAGCTGCCTTTCTAACTGTCAACACATACAAGCACACAGATGCAAGTAACCTTCATAAGATGTTGAAAACTTGAAACTAAACTGATAAATATTCAGATGAAAATGCTACCTGTGACAAAACTTCATTTAGTAACTGGACCTTTGAGCCTAGATTTTCTTCATGAAACATTTACAGCACTGATTGCTTGATATTGATCCTTTGGAACAAAAACTATTTAAATGAAAATGTTACCTGTGACAGACAGAGTGACTCCAAGTAAACCAGTATATTTCCCAAGTTCTTGGTTTGTTATGAACCTGAACTTGTACTCAGCTGAGTCGCTCTCTCTCAGGTCTGTGATTCTCAGAGTGCAGCGTTTGTTCTGACAAATATACTCCACACGACCTTAATATTCTGGGTCCGTTTTCAGATCCACATAAACTTTATTACTCTCTTTCGTAAACCAGAATGTTTCCTGAACTTTGGTATCATGATTATTTAAGCTGGATGGATATGTGTAGGTACATTTTATGTCCACTGTTGATCCTTTTAAGGCACAGATCTGAGTTGGAGTGTAAGTCACTCCCCAGCCATTCTGACTCTGTACCACTGAAAAACAGATGACATCAGAAACCAAAATCAGATTCAAAACATCAGAGAACAAACTTATTTTCATATATTTATTTTTGTAAAACTTAACTGAACTACTGCACATGTACAAAACTGCATTGGGAGTCAAACCCTTTGCCATGGAGAATTAACAGTCTACAGGTTTTCATGTCATTTTAAAGACTTTTAGAGGCAGAGGGGAGAAAACCTGTAGACTGTCGGCTCTCCATGGCACAAGACTGGACAACTTGTGTAGGTTCTATGTAATATCCTGTAAGACAAAGAGGATCAAGGTACCAGCGTGTTTTTGGGAACAGCTATCCTGGATAAGCAGTGTCACAAAAACGTATCTCTGTAACTAGAACTGAAAAAGAATAACGTATTTTATCAGGTGTTTCAGTTTTTATTGATACAATAGGAATATTTATCAATGTTGGTGCAACAGCTTCGGTCCATTCATTTAAGACATAGAAAAGGACATTAGGGGGGAATCGGAGGAGCATTTATTTACTTTTTGCTCACTAAAACCTTGTATTAAATATTTGTTGGAGATCATACACCCTAACTCTGAAGTCTCATGGAGGGGATGATGGCACAGACATAACTATTGTTGACTAGCTATCAGTTTTTAAAGATCAAGTCATCAAATCCGTCTAATTTAAAAAATAAATTCACTTTGTGGTATGGCTGCTGACTGAAGGCCTTCCCCATAACATCAGATATAGCTGATAGCTGATCCAGGGTCCCTGCACACATGATGGAAGCGTGTGTGCAGGGGGAATTTAAAAAAGCATCATCAATGGAGATCTGATAGGACGATTCACCATGGCAACAGGTAAACAAGCCTCTATTTTAACCCAGTGATGCTCAAAACGTGGACCATGATGTTTCTCTTAAATCACAGGATGAAAGGAGTCACTTAGTTAACAATAATACTTTTTATTCAGCGTAGTCTGCGTATTCATCATTTACCAGACTTGAATTTCTGTAATGTTGCATTGGGTTTTAATTATATTTATTCACCTGTAACCTGACAGGGACAAAATACCACTGGCAATAACTGAAGATGAAAATATAGATAAGACACAGTTTAGTCATGGACCTATGATTAGTCCGACCCAGTAATAATAATTTTGGTCATTTGCAGTTGAAAATGTGTCTCTGTTCAAACTGACTGTAATGTTTTAGACGTCCAGCCTATTTTATGTAAAAAAATTATGCTCATTTCACATTTAGATACAATGCTTCTATGGGTGGAGCCTGATTCAAAGCTTCGCAGCGAAACATGCAATTTTGTCTATATGTTAGTGTCAACGTTTAATTTTACATAGAACCACCAGTTTTCTGACAATAAGTTAATATACAGCCAATTACAATATACATTTCAATGTTTGATGCTTTAACTAAACATGTGTAAAGAAAAACACTTTCAATAAATGTTTTTAAAGTGCGTAGATAAATCCAAAATTACCCTGGGTCGTCATGTGTAGGCGTAGCTTGTATGTTTGTGGTGGCAGAAGAGGAACACTTGCTGAAAAGATGGAGCCCCAGCTTCACTGGTGTTGTGCCGAGTTGTCGTGGGACTTTTGGATAATTTATCACCGTTGATGAACCGCACAAAGAATATTATATCGTTTTTAGACCCGCGAGGAACCGCGACGCGCATGCAGTTGTCGGCAGCACGGCATGCACGTAAAACTCTGCACAAGACCGGTGAATGGCAGGAGGGAGGGAGGGAGAGAGGGGGGAGAGAGAGAGGTCAAAAATAAGCCTCAGTTTAGCTTTAGGGACAGCCCTAAACATGACAAATGATTGTTCATTGATCAGTTAGGCTACAGGCATATAGATTAGTTTGATTGAAACAGTGATTACTGCAGTAGTGTAGGCCACTAAATGTTTCAGTGTAACTGTTGCTGCCTTAATGTCCACAGAGTCACAGTGATACACAGAAGGACAGAGTAGCCCGTATAGATTTTATCTGTGCTGAGGATGAATCCACAATGTCGCTGTCTCAGTCCTTACATTGATGACAGATTGATCATAAAAGTGGTCATGTTGAAGATCATGTTTGGGTACGGAACCTATATCTAACTGGGACTTTGATGTTTGCAAAAACTTCTGCAAATGAATGTGTTCTGTTTGTGTTTTGGTATCGACAGTATGAATGAGGAAATGAAACGCTGCGTCAGACCGCTGCTTCAGGCTCCGCAGGAGGGGAAGAGTCAGAGAAACTCAGCATTTGTTGAAGAAAACCTTCTCCCGAGCAGCTTAGCTGCAGCTGAGTTACTGATCTCGTTTTTTCATGATTTCAGCCCTGCCACGCCCAGAGGCTTTCCCATAGTGCCGTCACCGACGCAGTGTCTCGTTCCCCTTCTCGGAGAACAAGGGTTACATACGTAACCCGAGACGTTCTATTTCATCATTTCAGACGATGGCATGTAATACTTATTTTGTCCAATTGGGGGAGCTCAGGTTACATGATGATAGCTTGGATTAACCCAAAGACAATCTTTGCTCAGGAGCTGTGGAATTTGGTTAGTTAACATAAAATTCAAGCTGGCACATTAATAGAGTATAGGATGAAATTTCTTTATCATATCTTTTCTAAAGGAAGTGTCAAAGTATTGTGACCAAGCATTGGTTACGCATAAAATGAAAGAATGTCATTAACCTTGCTGAAAATTAAAACACTGCAAAATTAACTTATTTAGATTCTTTTCAGCAACAATATCAACAACAGATATCAACAACAAGGTAACATAACTACTAACTTAAGAGGCAGCGCCACTACTAACTTAGCAAGGATTATTATTTAAAGAGAATTACAGTTTATAATGAAACATTGTTTTTGCTCAAGAAGGAAAGAGTTGTTAAGTACCCCTTTCACATTCCTGGCTTATGACATTTGCGCATCAGCTAAAAGAAGAGACAGGAGTGGTGTTTTATGGCCCAGCCATTCTATGGGAAAAAGGGATCAGAAGTCCGGTACTTTGATGTCCTGAGGCACCCTATAGGGAGAGGGATTGGACACTTCTTTTTGCTGTCCTGCTAAGTGTCTGTTGACACCTTTACAGCGTCCTTAAGCAATGCATGTCTGATTGAGTCTCTGCAGACCCTTTACCAAACCCCAGGCGATGTCTCTAGTATTTGCATGTCAAAAGGCCAAAACTTTCACGGATAATTCAATTCAAACAAACAAAAAGACTTAAGAAAAATAACGCATCAAACTTGTAGCAACGCTAACAAGAGGCACGTGTTCACAGCACTGCCCCCCCCCCCCCCCCCCAAAAAAAAACCAAAAGAAACATTCCTATAAAGAAAGAAAACCCTCTACTTGGTTTGGCCCGGTAATGTCATCCATGACCACCCTATTCCTATAAAACAGGAAATGCTTAGGCCGGCCCTTCCCCAAACAATTATCCTGCATGGTGGAACTGAACAAAGGAACAAACAATTGTAAGTATTAACACAGGAAAACAATTAAACCATGTTTAAACTAATAAAATGGAACTGAAACTAACTTTGCTGTCGACTGTAACATAATGCAAACACAAACAACCCGGGATCGTAAGTGGTGCACTTTTACACAAGCTATGATAAATAACCAAATGGCCTGTATGGGACAAGTGGTGAGCAAACCCACTTCGTCACACAAACTATGAACTTTCTATCTATTTAAGAGAGTGTAACAAACTTCACTTCACTGCACTTCAAAACATCCAACCACCAACAAAGACCATCTAAGGAAATCTTATCGTAAATGTGGTCATAGTTTAGGGTCTGTCAGTGATGCTAAACTAAACAGGAACAGAAGAAAACACAGTTTGATGAATCGCTTGGATGCACACCATGGGTTCAAATTGATGTGCTGCATCAGTGTGGAAAAAAGTCACATGATGCAGTCTTATTGACTGTATAAGACCTATTTTTCAAAAAAAAATCTGTTTATTTTAATTAAAATACAGGTCAAATACTAATAAAACGTTACATGAAAAGACTAAATGTTACAAAAGTCAGACAAATTATATTTAAAGGTGAATGCAAAAACACTTTACATATTCTAAAAAGCAGACCCATGCAGTGTAAATAACAAAGTAAGTTTCTCTAGGGCATATAATTAATTTGTAAATTTGTAAATGCAATATCTGTTTTGGTCATTAGGTTTTGTTGACTGTGCTGTACAATGCAGCTGGATCCTCTCCAGTTTCCTGACCTCTGGTTCTGAAAAAAACAGAAGATATTGTTTGAAAAAATATAATTACCATCATATCCCAACAGTGTTTTAGAGTTTAAAATATAAAAAAGGAGGGAAAATGACAAATCAACACATTTATTTCATTTGTTATGTCATCTGAATCTTGCAGTGAGTAGTGTTGTAGTACTCGAGACCGGTCTTGGTCTCAAGTACTACAAAAAAACGTATTGCTTCAAATGCAACCGATAATCCTACTTAAAAATATGTTCCCCCTCCCTGCTATAGTAAGCATGGAAAAGGAGTGTTGAATAAAGATGCTTTTGTTGATTTCAGCTTTTAGTGTTTGTATGCGGGTGTTTTAATGGGAATGTGGATCTTTCAGATAAATTTCAGGAGTACCTATGATCTCGTTCCACATTTCATTGTGTGTCATGTAATGTGGGGAACTGGTCTTGGTCTCAGCCCTTAAGTCTTGTTCCAGTTAGTGTTGTATCATTCAAAGAACGTTTCGTTCATAAGACCTAATCGTGTGTATGACTCGGGAGGAACGGGTTGTCTCATTGATTCGTTCATTTTCACACATGTGTGAAGGATCTTGGACTCTTACGTTCACTCGTCACACGGGAGGTGCATGGGCTCCGTCAGCACAGGAAACAGAATTGATTAGTTCACGACTCTCAACTGTGGGTCTCTGGGTCTGAGTCGTTCATTTGTCACCTGACAGCTCCTACTGTGCAGCAGGAATGAATGACTCGTTCAGCGCTCACATGGGTCCTCCTCAGTCTTTCGTTCACTCTGCAGGCTGAGTGACTGCCAGCGCCGGAGAATGAGAGGCAGGTCGGCTGTCGGGTAACAGTCACTGGACTGACATATCTAATATCTATTTTGTAACATTTTATAAAGCATAACGTTATAACAGCGTAGTGATGTTGTGCTAAGTTATAGTTTTAACACAGCCGCACCCTAACTTTAGTCCTGCTAGTGTTTACAGCTAACAGCTGATGAGAGTTGTTCTGGGTCCACTTCAGAGCCCTGACAGGGTTCTACCGGGAGCCGAATTACCTCCAAGGTCGTCTCCTCTCCAAAACAAACAGACCCGGTCATTAAAACATTTAAACAGCCACGTAGCAACGTTAGCCCTGTAAACAGCTAACAGCTGATCCAGGTCTGCCAGAACGTGGAGATGTGGCCCATTCTACATCCAGACCTGCCAAATTGCTGCGTTTATATGTGTTAATTAGGGCCCTAGGAAGAACCGTGCGAGGTCCCTATTGAAACTGTAAAGATTTATTTTATTTTTTCTGCAAAGTAAGCTCAATTTTGGGAGCCTAAACATACCCAAAACTCACCAAACTTTGCACACAGTCAGAAGTGGTGAAAAAAATCTTATTTTATGGGTTTCGCGCATGGGCGTGGCAAAATGACTCACTAGCGCCACCTAGAAAATTGGAAAAAAATTTGCCCCTCGTCCACGCTCAACCTACATAAACAAAAAAGCCTCAAGAACCCATATCCTAAACTCAACAGGAATTCTGCCATTTTTGGATGATTTACACACTCCGTACTTTAACAAACTCCTCTTGCATTTAGTCCGATCGACGTCAAATTTAAAGGCATTGACGATGCTATTTGTGAGTTTTCGTCAATGGGCGTGTCCGTGGCATCGATGATTCGCCATGAAACAGGAAGTTATTATAACTTCAGTGTACATGCTCACATCTGCACTAAACTGTACATGTAGGATGAGAGTCCCGCCCTGAATACATGTACATGCCGACATTCACCCACAGTCATAGCGCCACCTGTTGGCAACAGGAAGTGACCTTTAATGAAGCAGCCCCCGCCGCACGTTTGACCTACATGTATGAAATTTCTGTGGCACATGTATCATGTCCAGACGTACCAAAAAGCCTCTTGGAGCGATGCCCTAAACCCAACAGGAAGTCGGCCATTTTGAATTTTACTGCAATTTTTGGATGATTTACACACTCTTTACTTTATTATTTAGTCCGATCGACTTCGAATTTCTGCTGTGCCTTCTAAAGGCATTGACATGAAAAGTTGCGCTATCTGTGAGTTTTCGTCAATGGGCGTGTCCGTGGCATGCCGTCAAAGATCAACTCTTCGCCATGACACAAGAAGTTGTTGTAACTTCAGTGTACATGATCACATCTGAACAAAACTTTACGTGCTTGATAACTCTCCCACCCGAAGACATCTACACACCAATACCGATTTATATTCATAGCGGCAAGTGCTATGTAGCGCCACATAGGGGGCACAGGAAGTGACATTTAACACCTTCATGCAGCGTCGGAACCACGTAGCAAATTCACAGCCGCACCGGCAGAGCTCCAGAATATGCAACGCGGCTGGCTCACACCCGGACGCGCTACAAGTGCGAGGGCCCGCCCAACGCTGCTTGCAGTATATTTCTTTGTTCCTCTCTCTGTGCTGGAGTTCTTTAAGAACTTGGCGGCTTGATCCAGATTATTATTAAATTGGTTGAATTTTATATAATGATGACATACAGTAATAAAGAGGTGAATTTGTGCATTATACTTTGTCAAACAACGCAAACCAGTCAGCCTTCCATGTTTCAGAACGGCGCTGTTTTTTAATCGCCCACTAGAGGGCTGCAGTGCCACAATAACCAGCATAGTTCAAATGAACGTAATGACTCAAAAAAAGGTTAGTTCATTTTAATGAACGAGATTTGAATGAACAAGTCTGTCAAAAGAGTCGAGCTTGCCAGCACTAGTTTCAGTCTCAATAAACTCTGGTCTTGGTCTTGACTACAGCAATTGTAGTGAGGATAATGTTTCTGTGAGAAGAGCTGCTCACCTCGGGGCAGTATTACTCTTAAATATGACAACAGCATAGTCCATGAAATCTTGTTGCTCTGTGTGTCTGAGGGAGCGAGCTGGTCTGATGTCGGAGTAGAGAGGATCTGCCTGGTTGTTGGTGAAGTGAGTGTGGCATACTGAAGGTTATCCTGCTCCTCTGGCTGTTCAGGTAGAAACTGCACAGACATATTTTACATGAGTGGGTTTTTCATTTGAATAGTGAATTCTTACAGATGATTGCAGTAAGACTGAAGCAACTACAGCTGTGGTAATAATGGAACAAATATTCCTGCTTCACCGTGCATTACAGAAAAGAGCTAAGTAAAGGAATTTACAAGGAAAGGACAAAAAGTAGGAAAGCTTCTGGATCTACTAGGAATTTAGTCACATCCGAGAAATTCATTTCTGTGAAGAAGGATGTCGAAAAAAGAGCAACATGAATTCCTTCTCAGTCAGATTAATTTTCCAGAAGCACTTAAAGAGTGAGTGACTTTTGTTCTTGAATAAGATCCGTGACTATTCTCACCTGTTCCCTGTTGTCTGGTCTCTCTTCAGGCTCAGACGATTCCTTGGAAGCCCTCTTTTTCCTGGTTAGGTGAATAAATAAGAAAATAAATGATTGAACATTTTAAATTGGACAAACTGACCTTCAATGATTTAACATTCAATGATTCAGTGAAACAGAGCTGCTCACCTGATCCACAGGAAGAGACAGAGGGAAATGATAACCAGGAGGACAACAGTGATTGTTGTAGCAACTGCTAATTTCCCTGCTCCTAAGAAACAGGGAACAAAAGAAAACACAGACAGTAAATTAAAGTGTTACAGCATGTTTGGACCCATTGCTCCCATAGAGTAACACTGCTTTCAACACAAGAAAATTATAATAGTGTAAATAAACCTCTTTAGAATGTTAGAAAGAAGAAACTAAAAGCCAAAGTAGATCAGAATCTTATCTGGCCCTAAAAAGAGATTATTATTTCTCTACTGTCAAAGATAGAAAGCAGAGACAGACCTGAACCAAATACAGGCTCAGTGACCACAAACTGGCAATCAAAAAAGAAAGAAAACGAAAATAAGAAACCAGGGTAACCAAATAAAAAATGTCTGTGAAGGTTCTCAGTCATCCAGGTCATACTTATCCAAAGATGGTTAAATTCAAGGGAAACTGGACTTTGTTGAAGATACTAGAAGACGTTTCGTCCCTCATCCAAGAGACTTCTTCAGTTTTTTTTTAAACCTGTCCTGCCCAGCAGCCTGCTATAGAGTATGATGAGCTGGATACCATATTGTGCCAGACAGATTTTACTTTAACAAGAGAGTATTAATATACTCCTTTGTCTGTTTTAATTATGTATTGATTTGTCACCCGGACAGGGGGGCAGACACGGGGATAGGGAGGCACAAACAGACAGCACAGAGAAAGGACAAGACCTGTAAGAGAAGGGGATGGAAGGTGTGGACAACAGGGAAAAGCAGAGGGAAACACCAATTACAGAAAGCAACGAAACCTGCAATAGAACAGAGAGGGGGGCTTAGGGAGTAGAAAAACAACAACAAAAAAACACAAACAAAAACAAACGATAAAAATAATAATAATAGTAAAAGACAACCAGCCGAACAGCAGCAATAAACAGCTGACATAGTAAGACAACTAAGAGAAAAATGAAAACAAGAAACAGTCACGCACACTAAATAAGCAACACAGCACAGCAACGAGAGCTGGAATAATAGCAATTAATTTAAATAAGTAACTGAAAGAAAAGCTAAGACTAATTCTACCAGGGACAACCTAAATTTGTTTGTGTCTATGTGTGAGACTGTGTGTGTCTGTATGTGTGTGTGTACATGTGTGTGCGCACATAAGCCTGTTAAAGAATGTAGTTGTTGAGTGGGATACCACGACTGTGCCACACCTACCCCAGCAACAGTCAGGCAAGAACCCCAGTAGCCAATAGGGGTTGGAGAAAGAATTTTTTTTTTGAATCAATCAAAAAAAACAAAGACTCCCAGATGCACCGCGATGCAAACGCGAAAGACCCCAACCCAAATGCCAGTTGACAACGTAATCCTGACGGAACGCAAGAGGTGTATCCCGTGGAAGAGCAGCACCCGGACGGACCGCGGCGTGCACACAACAATGACCAGTGCTCCCACCCACCAGAGAGCAAGCGGAATAACACAACAGCGAAAGCCAGCGGAGAGAAACACCAGCTGCAAGTCCCAGCCCGGCAGCAAACGCGCCGCACAGGTCACCATGCACCCGCCAATAAAAGTCCGCCGTACCCCCAACCGCCGGAAAAAAACTTAGGCCACCGGCGCCAGCCGACATCCCCCATGCCCAGCACGCCCCCCGGCCGCCGTGCAACATCAGCCAAACCAGCAACGAGGCAAAATCAACTAGCTCAGCTGCATGCCACCACCAAGCCACCTACCCATCAAGGGCCGAGAACTCCAGGCACAAACCCAGAACAAATCAGAGCACAGCCCTGCCCCGCACCCACACTGCACATCCCGAAAACTAACTATATACCTCAGTATCCAGAGGGGTCCAACAACTGGCCGACAGAGAAATGGGGAAGCATGGATCCGAGGCCAACGACGCAAAACAGGGACGCAAACTGGTCCCACCAAGCCAACGAGAAAATGCCTCCCCCGGACTCCAATGCACAAACTAAACGCCCAGCAGCCATTCAGAGACCCTGCCCAGGGAAAAAGCACAATGGACTTCTTCAGTTTTGACTGACTGGTTAGCTAGGATCGCTGAAACCACTGGTTCGTTAATGCTCCTGGCTGTGGTAACGACAGTCGTCTTGGTCGTTAGAACCAGCCGTGGCCAAGTTTGAATGACCATCGTTGACATCCTCAACTGAGGCCAAGAGGAAATGCTTGTTTAATTTCCTGGGAAGTGATGACAGAACAGCATTGTAAGTGGGGGATGAGTGGTAGCATAGACCCCCTCCACTGTTCAATGGCAGCTTCTCAACCCGGGTGTAAATGGATTCCCTGACACCTCTTTCAAACCCTCCATCTTCTGTCCAAAAAGTTTTACCTGGTGATCCTCAAACGAGTGTCCTTCAGATGTAAATAAACTGCTGAGTCTACGTGCGTACCTACGTCGTAGGCTGCACACGTAGCCATGCATTTATATTTGTGCATCGGTGTCCCCGTCGTTCTGCAATTAAACCCCCAAACACTAGTCTGCAATAGCGCTACAGCTCCCAGTGTTGACTTTTGCCAGCCGAGCAGGCAACGTCTGGTTTAGCGCTTTGCTAACGTGAAGGGGAGTAAAATTTTGTACGTGCGCCTGGTGTAGCCTTTTCAAATGTTATCAACCGAATGGATCGCATTCTGATAGGGAAACGAGTCATTTCACTCGGGTTGTGACGGTCAAATATATCGATCCACCGTGTTACAGCCGCTGTTTTGGCCACTAGTAAAAGTTACTACAAAGCATGGGGCACTTCCGGTCGGCTCGGAGGCATTGCGAGGCTACCCAGCCGACCAATCACAGTGCTTACGGTCTGCGTTGATGCGACATGTAGTTACATCTTTGAGGAGGTGCACGTCAGGCTACGGCATAGGGTAGGTGGATACGCAGAGGCTACCCCGTCGATTCAACGCAGAAGTATAAATTGCGCATTAGACCTTCTGTGTTGAGCCATGCGTTTGTGTAGTGGTATCGACGATCCTAGCTAATGATCCCAGAGATTACATAGCTGAGTTTCCAGTCAGAACTGAAGAAGTCTCTTTGATGAGGGATGAAACGTCTTCTAGTATCTTCAACCAAGTCCAGCTGCCCTTGACCTTAACCTTCATTGGACAAATAAAAAATATGGTCACTGTTTGAAAGGTAAAGGTTCAGACAGAGATGCACTTCCTCCTATAATGTAAAACTGAACTAAGGGACATTTACTTTAACAATTATTTTTTACTTATCTGTGTATATGTTTAGATATATATCTTTACATATATAGATGATATCTATACATATATAGTGTGATACCCCTGTAATTGGCACACACTCTCTGGTCCCCCTTTTTGAACAGGGGAACCACCACCCCAGTCTGCCACTCCTTGGGCACTATACCCGACTTCCATGCAATGTTAAAGAGACGTGTCATCCAAGACAGCCCCTCCACACCCAAAGCTTTTAGCATTTCTGGGCGGATCTCATCAATCCCTGGGGCTTTGCCACTGTGGAGTTGTTTGACTACCTCAGTGACTTCCACCAGGGAAATTGACAAAATCCCCCATCAGCCTTGAGCTCTGCCTCTACTAAAGAGGGCGTGTCAGTCGGATTTAGGAGTTCCTCAAAGTGTTCCTTCCACCGCCCAATTACCTCCCCAGTTGAGGTCAGCAGGGTCCCATCCTTACTGTACACAGCTTGGACGGTTCCCCGCTTCCCCCTCCTGAGATGGCGGACAGTTCTCCAGAAACACTTTGGTGCCGACCGAAAGTCCTTCTCCATGTCTTCTCCGAACTTCTCCCACACCCGCTGCTTTCCATCTGCCACAGCAGAGGCTGCAGTCCTTCGGGCCCGTCGGTACCTTGCAACCGCCTCCGGAGTCCTCCGAGACAACACATCTCGGAAGGCCTCCTTCTTAAGTCGGACGGCTTCCCTGACCACCGGTGTCCACCACGGTGTTCGAGGGTTACCGCCCCTTAAGGCACCTAAGACCACAGCTTTCCGCTGCAGCTTCAGCAATAGAGGTTTTGAACATTGCCCACTCCTGTTCAATGTCCCCAACCTCCACAGGGATGCCAGAAAAGCTCCGCCGGAGGTTTGAGTTGAAGATCTCACGGACAGGGGCCTCCTCCAGACGTTCCCAGTTCACCCGCACTACCTGTTTGGGCTTACCAGGTCTGTCCAGAGTCTTCCCCCACCCCCTGACCCAACTCACCACCAGATGGTGATCAGTTGACAGCTCTGCCCCTCTCTTCACCCGAGTGTCCGAAACATGCTGCCTCAAATCAGATGAAACGATTAAAAAAAATCGATCATTGATCTTCGGCCTAGGGTGCTCTGGTACCATGTACACTTATGAGCATCCTTATGCTCGAACATGGTGTTATAGACAATCCATGACTAGCACAGAAGTCTAACAACAAACACCCACTCGGGTTCAGATCAGGGGGGCCGTTCCTCCCAATCACGCCATTCCAGGTATCTCCATCATTGCCCACATGCGCGTTGAAGTCTCCCAGCAGAACTATGGAGTCCTCTACTGGAGCCCCATACAGAACTCCATTCAGGGTCTCCAAGAAGGCCGAATACTCTAAACTGCTACTTGGTGCATATGCACAAACAACAGTCGGAGTTTTCCCCCCCAGTACCCGAAGGCGTAGGGAGGCGACCCTCTCGTTCACCGGAGTAAACTCCAACGTAGCAGTGCTCAGCCGGGGACTTGTGAGTATCCCCACACCTGCACCACTTGCGCCTCACACCTTGAGCAACCTCAGAGAAGAATAGTGTACATCCCCTATCAAGGAGTACGGTTCCAGAACCGAGACTATGCGTGGAGGTCAGCCCCACCAGATATAATTGGTAGCGCTCCATCTCCTTCCCCCACAGAGAGGTGACGTTCCATGTAGTATAAAGCCTGACCAATACTGGATTTCAGGCCGACAGCAATTATGGTTTATCGGCTAATGTTAAAAAATGACCTAACATATTTTTGCATTTCTGCATAAATACATAACTTTGTTGAAAAATAAATTTAGCAGTACTGTCCAGTGGACAAAAGCATGTAATCAACAATTTGTAAATTGCTCTAACATATGCAATAATCTAATATTGTTCAGTTTAGAGATCCACATGATTTATCAATTTAACTCTATGTAGCCTGAGAGAAAGAAATTAGAGCATAAAATCTCCCCAAAACACTCGCCAGTATTTGTTGCTGTATTGTCATCTTTTCTCATCCGGTCTCAGTGGACTCTGTTATGAAAGATATGCCACAGAGCTAAACTAAGAAACTTCTCAAAGTGCTTCTTCCCCTTATTAATATCCCCAGCTGAGGTCCACAATTTCCTGCCTTCAATGAAAACTGTGAGTGCAGCTGATTGCAAAAATTACCTGCCACAACTATCAGATGTAAGGTGGAGTTATGACGTCCTCTTCTGTTCTGGGCTTCACAGTAATAATTCCCACTGTGTTCAGCTCTGAAGTCAGTGATGGTGAAGTTCTGTCCTGATGCTTTTGGTGAGTCTTCATTCTCCTTGTACCAGGTATAATTAGCTGCTGGGTTAGCATCACTGCTGCAGGTCAGAGTCACTGAACTACCCTCCACTATCTCAGCAGAGGGACTCACTGACACAGAGGGAAGCTTTGGAGCATCTGAAGAAGATCAAATAAATGAACAAAAATGAGGACAGATTTCTTTGTGTTGTGTTGAAATGAGTAATAGTTATGTGTATGAGGCATCTAAAACTCTGGAGGTGGTTTTGTGACTGGCAGCAGGCAGAGTTGTGTGTTGGGACATGGTAGCTCCACTTTAATCTTGAGAAGCTGCAGAGCTGCAGTCTATTCCACCCAGGATTAGGGTTACAATTTTGGATTTATTTAGACACTTTAAAAACATTTATTGAAAGTTTTATTCTTTTTACATGTTTATTTACAGCATTAAACATTGAAATGCATATTGTTAATAGGTTGTACAGTATATTAAAATTATTGGGAGAAAACTGGTCGTTCTATGTAAAAATCAGACGTTGAGCAAAATGGCATGCTTCTACTGTGAGATTGACAGTCGAATCAAGCTCAGCCCATCGAAGCATTGAATCTTTCGACTATTCTGGGTCAGCCCTAACTGGAGTGATATACTTTTCTGCAGATGACTCATACTGATACTGTAATGTAACTGCATAGGGTTAAAAAAGGTAGTCCTTCCTACAACTCAAAAATGATTCCATGTAACAAAATCCAGGAAGTAATTTTCTTTCCAGCTTTCCAACAGCTTCTCTTGAACTCCGTCCTGATCTGAGAAGAGACAGATAGAAAATAGAAGTCAAACATAATTATGAACAAGACACAGTATCAGACAAAACGTGCTTCTATCTCTCAACTGAGTACCTGTCTCTCATGCAACAGAGCTGGCCATCTGGAAATGACTTTTGTGATGAGTGGCTGATCTCCAATTATCTCTTTTCTGCGCTGGGAAAACGTAGCAACCATCAGGTCTTCTACCAGCTGGGGATCAGGGTCTCTTTTCAGCATTTCAGCCTCCATCATATTACGCTTCTCCTCCATGTTTTCAGGACTCTGGACAGTAGTTGACCTCACCCTTCTTTGACTTCTTTACACTTTCCCCTTCGAACCTTCTCCTTTTCTTTACCACCACCTCAGGGCATCCTGCTGCACTTAACTTTTGCTGATAGTTTCCAAGCTTAAATTTCAGGCTGTGAAACCACGAGTACCATCCCTTTTCCGACCCTGGCTCCTTCAGACTAGGATGCTTCTCCACAAGTGCTTTGGCTACATTCTCATAGTGATGCCTCTCAGGATAAGCGCTAATCTTTGACATACTGTCGGCCAGTATATCAAGAATGTCTTTAAACCTTTAGGAATCACCATTACAGATCCATCCTTAGCATTGGCTTCTTTCAGCTGCAGCTCCACATCATGTGAGAACTGTGGAATCGGGAAGGGGTCAGGCCATTCAACACAATCTCTACTAAGAGAAGGGAGGCTGCAAGTGTCCAGTGTAGAATCTGAGACGTCATCAGCTGTGAACAACACTTTCACAGTTGCCCACCCCACAGGAAGGTCTTTGATGTCTGTTAGGTTGCACAACTGATTATTGAACTCAGGATCCTCAAATTGCAAAATGAATCCACCTCTCAGACCAAGCTTTGTTCGCAACACCTGATACAGCTCCTCAACACTGGATGGGATGTCTTCATTTTCTGATATGATGACACGCAGCAGCATTGTAGACTACTTTTACCTGAAAAGAGATAAAAATACATAGTTTTAAGTATAAATGTTTACTATAACCTCTTCTTTTGCTGTGTTCATGAGGGAGAGGGGCGGGATTAGATTTAGATTTTAAACAGGCCTAGTAAAAAAAAACGAAAATCAATATGTGGCAGTCTGCGTTGATATTGTGGCGGGACGCCACAAATAAATTACGTATGGGAAACACTGATTTAACAACTCGCCACTGCCTGTTAAAACAGATGTGGTGGATCAGAGGCTACCGTTTTAACGTCACTGCACTCTTTCAAAAAAAGAGTCAAAATCAACTAATGTTATCTTCACCTGCTCAGCTCTCTCTCTGCTCTTCTCACAGTCAGACAGTGAAACACACGATGGCGCCAGTAAAGTCTACCTTCCTCCCGCTATTTTTATTTTTATTTTTTTAAACTGGCAGGTTAAGCTGGAGCGGAGTACAAACTCACTAATAAGCGAATAACATTGCAAAAGAAACTCGTCACAGATTAGCTAACAATGTTAAGAAAGCCCAAATCCTCTTAATTTTGCTGAAGCAGCTAACTTTAATTTAAGTAGCAACTCACCTGGTCAAGGCTAATTTCTGAAATGCGGACGCCTCTCCACCCACATTGTTGGAACAGGCCACGGCTAATTACTGAAACAACGTTGGTAACGTTACGGGTCACGGCTAATTACTGAAACGTCGACGCTACTCCACACATCGTTGAGACGGGCCAAGGCTAATTACTGACACTAAGTTACACACAGAGGCTCTAGTAAAGCAGCTAACTCAAACATTCAAACAACTACCAAGCGCCATAAATGTCCTTTTTTGAGGGGTGAATGTTAAATAAAAGATTGTGTTTCTTCTTAATAAAAGTAAAAAGTGACATTCGGACTAACGTTAAACACCGTAAAGTTGGGTTCACTGTTGAACACTAACGTTACATGCATTAATAAGCTGCTCTGAACTATCCCGTGTTCAGAAAGTCTCATGACAGCAATTCGTTTCTTCATAACTAAGTTAATTGACTCATTGAATTGGGTTACAATTATTATAAATGACAGACTCACCTTGCTTCTCTTGCTCCAATCCGAAAAGACCCGCTTTTCCGCTGCCAAGTCTCATCCACATCTTGCTGGAAAATAACGTATTCATCCGCTGCTTATCTGCTCACCATTGTCAGTAGGCTTAATTTGCGTTCCTCTTCTTCTCTCAATGGGGAATTGCAATTGGGTGGTGCGCCTCATTAATGTGTTACAAAAATCAATCAGCATAGTTATTAATCGTATATCAGATCAAGAGAAAATATTCAGGACTATTTGCACCGCGCATTAATACTGTCGCCACACCGGGGTCATGGTTACTTTTTAAGAGATCCGGTTACCATATTCCAACTCACACTTATAAATTAAGTTGACACATTGAAATTTACATTTCACTGAACTGGCTTACAAACCTGAGTTGTGATAGTGATAACTCATTAAATTAAGTTGAAATTTCATAACTTATTATGTTAAGTGGAGGTAAATTATAGAAAGAAGTTACTATAACTTATTGATCCAATCCTTTTTTACAGTGCATTTTATTATGTGTCATGTAATGTGGGAACTGGTCTTGGTCTCAACTTGGTCTCAGCCCCTAAAGGTCTTGCTCTTGTCTCTGTCTATATAAACTTTGTTCTTGGTCTTGACTACAACACTACTAACCAAAGTAAGAGGAGAAATACTGTATCAGTTATGGGAGAGTCTGTGCTTTTCTTGGTCAGTTCTCTCTGTTCATTGTGTGGTCAGGTTGCTGCGTAAGTGTGAAGACGAAAAAGAAATGCAGAACACTGAGGTGTGAGAGATTGTTTATGGCAGTTATGATATAAACAAAAGATAAAATCTGAAAACAGTTTTTGACGCTGAACATGGAAACATCACACTGATGTCAGACATTACAAAAGGAACTAGCAGGGTTTGGTGCAGATGTATGAATATTTGAGAGAAGTCCATCTGTGATGATTTCACTGTGAGACCAATATACCTCCAAAAACTATACTGTGATAAAAGCAGCTGCAGGCTCAGCTATAGAGCAAATTAAACAGGACAATTTGTTTTTAAAGAGTCACAATTAAAAACCACGATATTCTCAGTTACAGCATGTAAAAGCACACAGGTAGCCTACTTTTTGCAAAAGACAAAGCAAAAGAAGTTGGCCATAGCAAACTTTCTAATATCCAATAAAATGTACACAAACACAAACAACTATATTAAAAAATATTAACATCTGGGGAGTTTCCACAACTGTAAATTAAAACTAATGTTTCTAGCTTTTCTATGTTTGCCTTTCACACAACTCTAAGCCACTTATTTCTACATGTGACCTTCAGCCTACTTTTACAAGACCAGCATTTTCACAGATTCCCCTCTTTTATTGCAATGAATGTAAGTTTAGATATTCAGTACCTGACACAGAGAGAAGGAAGACGACAAATCCTCTCGCTGCTGCAGTTAAACTCATAGCTGCTCCTCTCATCTCTCTGTGTGGCTTCAGAGACAATAAAACATGTCAGCAGATAAAATAATGTACACAGGCGATATACAGTATCAGTCACATCAATAAACAATTCTACTTACAGTGAAGAAGGACGCTGTCTTTAAAGATACCTTTCCTCTGTGGTCAGTGAGCAAAAAACGGATGTCAGGCAGTTAGACGACTAGATTTCCTTCCTCTTTAGATTACTAATATACATGATGGGCTGAATGCAACATCAAACAACAACACCCACATCAAAATAAAGTTTGACATTTTACAACTATAAATAAGAGAGAATAAGAAAATAATATTACTGTTGGTATTAAACCTGTTTAAGAAAAGACTATTCAAAAAAACAAGCGCAAAAACAAGAGAGGTGTTTAAATTGGTTTGATGCTCACTTGACACTTCCAGTGCATCTTTAGACAGTGAAATAACCTTTATACCAGTATAAGTTCAAAGAGATGGACTGCAGCAGTATGGGATGCAAAAAGTGTAAGAAAATTAGATCAGAAACAATGAATTACATTTTGCAGCTCTCTCACTCACAGTCATTCTGACTCTGTGTCACTGTAACACAGAGCACATCTGACAAGATGCTGCTGGAGGTAAGACAGAAAATATGTCTTCTTGTAATTTGGGTGAAGTGACTCTTTGAAACAGACAGTGGAGGGAGCTCTCAGAGTGAGGAAGCCTGAATGTGCCACAACAAAGGTTCACCACTAGAGGGCAGTGAAACATCACAGATACTGAATCAGGACGCTGAAACATTTTACCATCACTGATTGTTAAGTCAAATTGAAGTTTACTTTGGCGTTTTATTTTCAAATTTTATTATTGAAACTATTTGCATTTTAGCTTTACCCCGGACATTCACTTTATTTAGTATTATTGGCGCAGATTAAGTTCACAAAGTGTCAACAGCTCACATTGGGGAGCAGCATATTAGATATTGCAATAGCAGCAAACTTTTGATAATTGACTTGTTTTGGCTGAACAAAGACTCATAATTAAGGTGTTGCACAAACTATCGATGATGGGCTCTTATTCTGAAAGGCTTCACACTTAGTGAACCTCGACCTGCTCCATGAATGACCCCAAAGAGTTTAAATGGACTAAATTGACATTTAGAGCTAAAGAGTTAGAGTTAATGTCCTCTTCATTAAACTTTATATCAGCAACATCCCGAATCATAATAATCTGTTACGCTGTGGCACATTTCATCCTCATAGTGACAAGAACTGAGAATGTGAGCAATAAGCCAAAGCAAAAGAACACATTTAAATTTTATTTGTCTTGATAGCTGCACACAGAAACCCGTCAGGATTTTCTGCTACATGCTGCTGCTGACTGACTGCGCTGCTGACTCCACCCTGCTGCTGCTACTGAGAACTGAAAAGGAAAACTTTTGGAGTTGAAGGCAAATGGATCCACTTCCTCCACAGACTCGCTCTACTGTGATGTTTCAATGCCGTCCTACCATGAGGTGAGTCTGCTTCAACTGCAACTGAAGAAAATCACATAAAACTTGTGTAAAGTTAGAGTTGTAAATTTAACTGTAAATCTGAAGTCGGCCTGTTTTATTTGATGCAGGAGGCTCTAACCTGACTGGACTTCACACCATGTCTTCCTGCTGCTCTGTGTCTTCTGTCTGTGCTGCAGTGACGCTCTTAAAGTCTGAGACACTGACATCCGCAGGATCAGAGTCTAACTGATGGGAGAGACGACAAAATGAGGCTCAATGGACCTCTTTCATTAAACCTGCATATAATTAGATTTGATCAAAAATGTATTCAGTCACGTTTACAAGTAAACGTATTACTGGTTTCAACTCAGCAAGTTGTATTTTAAACATAAATTCACTTCACACTTTCCAGAGCATTTACGAGTCAAGTTATTATAACTGTGATTTAGGGGACATTTTGTCAACAGGACCTCTCTCTCACCTCTATCGTCTCTACAGGTTCATTTGGTTCAGAGGTGGAGCTCCGAGTTTTATTCTTCCTGGATTGAGTCCAACAACCACAAATACAAATGTAAACAATAATGAAATTCAAAACACTAAAATTAAAATAAGTTTGAAGAATAAAAGAGCGGTGACTGAACTGATGGATTGTGATTGTTTTACCTCGTCCACAGATTCAGGAGAAGCAGAGGAATCAGCATCAAGACCACCAGAGTCAACCTGATGATATTCATGACTATTGTTGTTATAAAAAAAATATATATGTGATATACCTTACTTGTACGATTAGATTGGTAAGTCATTTTGCCAGTTGATACTGTCTGTAGTCACAGCTACAGAAAAACAGTCAGAAATTTTATTTCCGTTGTACCAACCATAGGAGTGACAATGTGTTGGTTTTTACATATTAATATGTGAATCAGGTCTGGTGCAGTAAACGTCTGTGTATACAGGTGAATGTGGAAAAATATTACCTGCCACAACAATCAGATGTAAGGTGGAGTTATGACGTCCTCTTCTGTTCTGGGCTTCACAGTAATAATTCCCACTGTGTTCAGCTCTGAAGTCAGTGATGGTGAAGTTCTGTCCTGATGCTTTTGGTGAGTCTTCATTCTCCTTGTACCAGGTGTATTTAGCTGCTGGGTTAGCATCGCTGCTGCAGGTCAGAGTCACTGAACTGCCCTCCACTATCTCAGCAGAGGGACTCACTGACACAGAGGGAAGCTTTGGAGCATCTGGAGGAGAAAACAAGAACACATTTTACATTTAATTTCAAGATGAGGTTGAGTTTTCACAGTGGAGCATTTTAAATGGACAATATTTCATACAAACACAAAGTGGAGGTGCAGCTTGATTTCCTCCTGTATCAGAAACTACATGGGTTCCTGTTTCCATGGATAACAGTGTGTCAGACATGATTTTCCCACATGTGGCATTTTCTGACATCACTTCCACAAGGAAACTTGATGGGACAGATCTTGTAACACTAATCGCTTGTAATTTTTAATAACTTGGCAAATATCTGACTTCCTTCTTTTCACTCATGTGTTTGTGCGGATGGATCAGAATAAGTTAAAACCTGGACCCATGAAGTGTTTTGCACTTGAAAGTAAGGAACAATATTACTGAAGAACACATTTACCAAGAAAAGTGAATTAAAGATACAAGAACAGATTATCAGGGAATTTCTCTGATGATGCACAAGTTTGATCTGATCCAAAGAATTTAAACAGTCTAAAGACAAGATAACAAATCTTGTTTTAATACATTTTCATTGTGAGTTATTTTACAGTGAAGACAGAAAATAACAGTTAATTATGCAACATGTCTACAATCTCATGGGGAAATGATTTGGTTTTCATCCAGTTCTACAATGAATCACCAAATACCACTGAGTTACATGCAGTTAATGTGCAGTACAATAGGTTAAAGGCTCCACCAGATGTTTTTTCTTTTTTTCTGTTTTTTTTTTTAATTATTTTTTTGTCTATTAATATATTCACACACACACACGTTACTGTTTCATTTATTAATTTAATTTAATTACACATATTTTTATTTTTTAACACACACACACTTATCATTTTATTTATTTATTTTATTTTAATTTTTAATATATGTATATATTTTTTAACACACACAAACACACACAAATAAAATATTTTATTTTATTTTTAATATATTTTATTTTTTAAGACACACACGCTTACTGTTTTATTTATTTATTTTATTTTTCATATATTTTTATTTTTTAACAAACACACACTTACACACACAAAAACACACACGCTTACTGTTTTGTTTATTTATTTTATTATAATTTTTAATATTTCTTTTTTTTAAAACACAAACACACATAGACTTTGATTACTTTACGCTTTAATTGTTTAATGAAATGTATGGGGCTGATTGTTCTTATGTTGTGTATATATGATGTATTGGCAATGTTGTTATTACATTCATGCCAATAAAGCTAATTTGAAATTGAAACTCCACTGCTACTGCCAGTGAAGCATCCACTTGGCAGGAGAGAGTGGCTTTAAGCAACGTTTTGTTGTTTTGTAAAAGCACTGGATACTTCTCTTATAAATGCCTGTGTAAAACAATAAAGTTAGTTCAAAAGTTGGGAGAGACTTGCTTTTCTTTTTTATCTCAGCCAGTGGCGTAAAACCATACTTGTTGCTGCTGTTACGAATATGCTATTAGTGAAAATGTTGGGAGAGACTTGCTTTGTTTTTTGTTATGTTTAAATATATCAGTAGCCTATAGCCCACTGTACAGCATCGTCTGCTCTTAGAGGCTGCAGTGTTTTCGGTTGATCTGGTTGTTGACTCCTTAGCTTAATAATTGTTCCAGGAAAGTGGATTTATTTCTAAAATGAGCTGCTGAACAAGTTTTCCCTTTTTCCCTTTTTCACTTTTAAAGATGGAGTTGGTGTGGAGGCTTGAAAGTAATAGTAACATAATGAGTAACGTAACTAGTTACTTTTAATACCAAGTAATGACTAAAGTAGTATAATTACTTTTTAAAGGAGTAATAAGTAAAAAGAAACTGATTAAAACTTCTGAGTAACGTGCCCAACACTGCTGCTATACCGCATAGACTGAAATGTTGCGAAGACAGAGTGCTGCTTTCTGCCCTCTAGCTGCGTGCTGCATCTCTGTGATGACGTTGCACAGAAACCTGTCTATAGATAAATGATGTCATCTAGCATTACAACATCAGACAGACAGACATCTAAACTGTGATGTGGCACGATTTTCAAAACAAAGAACCCTGTGCAGACTCCCGATCATATATTAACAAAATACACAGTTACAACAGACAAAAAAATAACTGGCCTACTTAACCATGGTAGAAGCACAAAAGTCAAGGACAACTGAACAAATCAGCAAAATGTGGCAGGCAAAACACTCTTATTCTGAAATGCTCTATGTGGACTGTGAAGCCGTGCAGAGAACGGAACTAAACCGGTTCACAGAGAGCTGTTTTTGGTAGTAGAAACACACAAAATGACAAATTAACAACACGTCAACAATGTGGGGCAGGCTAAACGCTCTGCTGCTCAAACATTTCCAGTGTGAGTTGACGCCAGGCAGAGGACGGACAAAACTTTGTCAGTTCGGCTGACGCCATTATCCCACACGTTTTGCTGTAGTTTCATTTGTTGTTGTAAAATGTATACATCCTGTGCCCACTCTGATTGGTGTACCGGGACTGAGATTCAGCCCGGGACTTTCAGACGAAGAGGCCTTTTACGGGAGCGCTGTTTGGGGGTGCAGAGAAATATTTTTTGCAGTTATTTTAATACTAATAATGTTTTTAGGGTATAAAGTCATTCCCATTATGCTTAAGATATTCAAGAAACTTATGGATGACACCTGCCTCCTCAGTTTGTATAAGCAAGGCACCACTGCACTGAACAAGACCATGTCATGCAGGCCTGAGCTGGAACATTTCAGTTACAGTAAGTTACCTAAATTGTAATGTGTTTTCTGTGCAACAATTTTCCAATGCACAACATTTATGCATTTGTAGCTACTGCTAATTTCCAATGCCCATCCCTAGAAGGGCTTTTAACATATATATACAATAAACATTAAGCATAGTAACAGTTGAGCACATACATGTATACCACCCCCCATCGCTACACATGACTACACGACTGATTATCTTTTAAAAACTTCTTCAGTTTAGTTTTAAATTGTTGATGATTTTGTTCATGTTTTGTTCATGATTTTGTTTTGTTGATGTTTGTTTTTAACTCGATAGCCAACTCGTTCCAGATCTTAGCTCCCTTGATTGAAAAGGAAGTCTTTTCCTATAAGATATTTTTTCAATTCCCTGCAGTTTATGTATTTCTGGTTGACAATCCAAAGGCCTTTAATGGCTGTACCATCTCACAGAGAGCCTGAGAAGTCTGTCCATGCAAACACTTCATGATGAGGTTTGTGTTTTCAAATGCTCAACATGTTCAGGTCTCTTAGGACGTGACAATGAACTGATCTAATGGGCTTCTTAATATTTTTAGGGCACGATTGTATAATCCTTCCAATGCTTTAATCACACCTATACCTGCCTGTGACCATGAGGTAACAAGTGTGAGAAAATCATTGTATGAACAAATGTTTTGGCTGCATCAAATGTTCAGCAATCTCTAATTAATTTGAATAGATACAAATTTGCTTTCATAGCTCTCCCTATTTTTTTAAACATGTTTATCAAAGTTCAAGTGAGGGTCCAGCATTAAGCCTAGATATTTAACTTCTGAAACTTGCTCTATATGTTGATTATGTATCTTGACATCCAATTTTTCGGGAGGTCATTTATAAATAGACTAAAGAGGATTGGACCTAACACCGACCCCTGTGGGATTCCTGTTTTACACTTAACAAAACACTACAAAAGATCATGTTTTGTTTTGTTAATAATGACACACTGTTCATGATTTGCAAGATATGATTAAAACCAAGCCAAAGTTTTTTTTTGAAAAATCTAACTTTGAGAGTTTGGAAACAAGAACATTATGATTAACTGTATCAATAGCTTTTTTGAGGTCCAGAAAAACTGTTGTCGTGTAACAAATTCAAGACTTGGGCCAGATAAGAAAGCTTGAACTTTTACCAACATTTTTATTCTCAACAAAAACAGACACCAATTAGAATACAAAAGTTCCACCGGAGTGCGTCAGAGATCGGTGCAAAATAGAGCCCCATTCTGTTACCAGAGCAGAGACCCGAGTCGACATGAAAACCATGTAACGACTGACTTTCACCTCCTTTTGGACCTCCTTTTATAGCTCTGTTTCTTGGCTTCACATCATCTCTTGGCTCTCTTTCCTACTGCACCTGGATCTGGGAAAGTCCCTGACTGCCTGCTCCTCCTCTCTGTGTCCTTTGCATGCCCTCTGCTTGATCATGCCATTTCATCCATAACCTGACTTTTGTGGAATAAACTGGTGTTGTTTGTGCTCTGTGCTAGAAACAGGACATTCTTACTGTGATGGACTACATTGATGTATGTTTTGTAATACAATTTTCACAAACTCTGCTTCTTTATTTTCCTTTGCAGGTGTTTTTGATGCTGCCTCCCACTGTGCTTGCTCACTCACACACATGTGCTACTGCTGAGCCTGGGCAGTTAGATACAGAAAGGAGCACATACACTCAGAACTATAGAGTTTTAACACTGTGATCCTAACTTTACACTATAAAATAACACTTTAAATGATGACAGTGTAGACCACCATTGCTCTAGTAATTAATGATAACAATTTAGGCTATAATGCTCTAAAATAATTCACAACACTGCCCCCACCAAGTTTCTTACGAATGCTCACACAAACATACACACTCAGATACGTAATGTTTTTAAAAATATAATCAATAACTACAATGCAGTCCCATAAAATAGAGAATTCTTTGTGTGTGTGTGTGTGTGTGTGTGTCTTTCATAAAGGAAGGATCAAATGTCCAGCCTCAGCCTGTGATGTGCGGTAAGGTGCGCTAAGTTAACGTTACCTCAAGTTTACAGAGAGCGGATCCCTGCTTAACCTTGCCTGTACGCTTTATTCAACAAAAAAAAATCAATTTGTTGGTGTTTTTCTGATTGGGAACACGGCGATCGTCTGTGTGAGAAAATCACAGAGCACTGTTATTAATGTTAGCCTTGCTTCGGCGCTCATCTGTCACTAGGAGCTGAACTGTGAACCTAAACTAGTGCAACAGTCTTTCGT